GTTGTTATCTTTTTATTTTGAAATAACCTCAAATTTACAGAAAAGTTCCAAGCATGGTACAAAGGCCTTTCCCTCTCCCCCCAGCCATCTGAAAGTAGCTGACCTATCATCCCTGAATACCTATTTAATGATTTAAATAATTTTATTTTTTTAATTAAAATTTTTGAGATATAACTGACATATGATTAGTTTTGGGTGTACAACATAATTTTCTATATGTATATATTACAAAATGATCACCACGAAAAGTTTAGTTAACGTCTACCATCACACACTGTCAACAAATTTTTTTTCTTGTGATGAGAACTTTTAAGATACTCTTTTAGCAGCTTTAAAATATACAGGACAGTATCTTTATAGTCACCACGCTGTACATGACATCCCCAGGACTTACTTATAACTGGAAATTTGTACCTCTGTCCAGCTTCACCCATTTTGCATCCCCCACCCCGAGCATTTTTGCTGGAATCAGGCCAGAATCCATGTTGGAGGAAGTTGGAAAATGAACAGGAAGTGAGATAGTGGATACTGGATGTGCAGAAACTCCCTGAAAAGCTCAGCTCCGAAGGTGAGGAGACAGGATGAAAGGTGGAAAGTGAGGTCACTGGAGGAGAGTTAAGATGAGATGGGGTTCATGTGTGAGTGTCAGTGGAAGAAGGATCCAGTAGAGAAGCTGAAGGAGTAGGAAAGGGTAAGAATGACCAGAGGATAGAAATCTCAGAGCCGAGAGGAGGGAATGGGACTTTTGAAAACCACCTCAGTAGGAAATAAGGGGGAAAAAAACTGTACCACCTCAGATTTCACAGCGCTGGAATTCAGAAAGATGTCATGTAAGCAGAGGGCAACGGTACTGTGTGGCTATTTTTAATGATAACTAGGAAAATTCCTACTGGCACAAACTCTGAACAGAATTCATTCTTATCTGCACAATAACACAAGAAAGACTAATAACTCAGAGTGACTTCAATCAAAAGGGTAATAATAAATAAATGAGGAGCCACTGTGTCCTTATTGTAGCTTTATATGGAGCCCTGGTCATGGTATCGGCCTCAGCAAGTTGTGAACACTGGATGCTTCTCACTCCAAGATGCAAGTCTTGATGGTGTCTATTTTAAACTGAAGGAGAGATTTCTGTGGAAGATTGAAAAAGATGACCAGGAACGCTCTGGGCTCCTCTAATCAAGAGGTGGGGCCCATTACTCCATCCCTTAACTCCGGGCTGCGTCTGCTGGTGCTCTGGCCAATAGAGTAGGGCTCCAATGCCACGTCCAAGGCTAGGCTTGAACTGAAGTGCGCCGGCAGCCAGCCAGCCAGCACCAACTGCCAAGAGTGTGAATAAGGCCGTCCCGGACCTCCCCGCTCGGCCAGCCCTTGCTGAATGAAGACATGTGAGCGAGCCTTGCCCATATAATAAATCGCTGTCTTAAGAAGCCACTGGTGTTTGAGGCAGTTTGTTACACAGCTACGGTCAGCTGCAACTTTGCTTGCTGGAGGACCGTCCCATCTGGCTGAGCCACAAGGATGTTCTTGCCGAGTGCACTGGCGGACACCCCAAGTGCTACCGTTCATTGCCCTTAGTGGGTTTGTTTTCGGACCCACTCCTTATCTGTTACCATCTCGGTAGTGGGGATACCAGCTTTTATTTCTTTAAATGCCATTTGTCTTTCAGAACTGAATTCAGTTTCCTCACCTTCCAAGTGGAGTTACCTGCGCTTAGGACTGAGACGTGCAAAGCCCGCGCAGTGCCTGCATGTTCAGTAAAAAGCATGTGATCCCGATGCTCCGCGGACCTGGCGGGCTCCCTCCAGCCTCGCTCCCCGACAGCCCCCGCCGCCCCGGCTCAGCCCGGCTCCCGCCTGCGCCCCGCCGACCGTTAGCTCTGGGCTGTCAACGCGGGGAACTGCCGCCCGCCCGGGGGCTCTGGGACTTTCGATACCTTTATTGGAACGTGGACCGCGCGTCTGCCCGGGAGCCGGCTCGGCCGCTCGGAAAGACCCTCCGCACTCCGCGGGCCCCCCGGCCCCGCGGTGAGAGCGCGGCCCCGCCCCCTCCCGGCGCTTCCGGTTTCGCCCCCGCGGGCCGGGCGGGCGCGTGCGCAGCGACCAGGGCTCAGGGTCGCACGCGTCCTTCCCCCCACAGGCCCTTGCGGCTCGGGCGCCACCGGAAGCAGCAGGTGCGTGAGGCTGGGAGCGGGTGGGGCAGGCGGCGTGGGCCCCGGGTCGCGTGCTGGGTGCCCGGGGGCGGGCAGGGACCTGGGACCCCGGGGCTGGGACCCCAGGGCTGGCGCTGAGGGCCCCGCGGCTTCCGCTCAGCGCCTGCGAGGACCCCGTGCCGCGCTTAGGAACGGTGTGTCCGCGACACAGGACGGTCAGAATCAGACACGCTGGGTGCCGGCCCCGTGCTCGTCCACCGAGAGCCAGAAGGCGAAATCCGACAGGCGCACGGCCGTCCGGAGACTCTGGATAAGTTACGGACCGAGAGGTGGCAAAATAACTTGGGAAGGTTTTTTTTGAAGGAGCTGGGCCGACCTAGGAGAGTCGATGGGACTTCGTAACGGTTTGTTTTCTGTTCGGTGATGGAGAAGCATGTTTGGCAAATGCAAAGTGGCGGTAGCGCGAAGTGCCCCTCTGGAACCTGGAAATAGGATTGTCCTGTGAGGAAGAATGATTAAATTATTAATTAAAAGGTGAGAGTAGAGATATGCAAAGTTAGCGTAAAGAAGCAAAATTTTATCAGGCCTTCAAGATGTGACAGTATCCTGACAGCTAATAGAAAGAAGATTGTACATCATTCAGCTGGAGGCCTGATCTGTTACTGAAGCACGGAGTAAAAGAAAGGTGCGCCTGCCTGGGATGAATCCAGGCCTTCTCTAGGAGGGACAGGGTATCCTGGCTTTGATAGTAGGATCTCTCCAGAGTCCAGGACTTGAGAGGCGATTTCCTCGGGGTTCATTCCACCAGACATTGAAATCGTGTAACTCAGTTTTTTTGTCCGATTCTGTACTCACCAAGCAAACTTAGGATACACCGGTTTATCAGTAACCCGCAGACAGCAAGTGGACAGGCTGATCTGAATATCCGGTTGATAGTCTATAGTTCTCTCTGTAAATTCATAAATTGGCATTCAGGTTTTTTCAGACATCCCTCTGTTGCCAGTGTTGCTCACTCTGTGTGATTCTTACTTGTCCCGCAGGGCTCAGTTGAAATGTTCCATTCTCAAAAGGG